TTCAGTAAATCTTAGTATACGCCCTTTAACACTTTTGTACAACACCACAAAAGCCGTGTTAAGATCAGTAGTATGATCCGGCTCGATAATATGTTTGGCAATAGAGGACGATGGATGTTTATCATCTACTCGTATTGGGTCATTTTCTAGTTTTCTAGTTTGCAAACATATTTTTTCAATATTATCTGTAAACACTTGTTTCAATACTCGAAAAAGTGTGAGCTTTTCAGTAAATCATAGTAAATATATGAGAAAAGAAGCATTTTAAAAGTATCTAATAGATTAGCACATTATTCCTGAGTAACCTAATCATATATCTACTCGTTAAGATACTTATATGTGGGAAATGAAACGCCAAATCAGACCAACTGGAAGAGAAAACTAAATAAAAGATAATAAGGAAAACAATATGAATCACATTACTCTGGGTAATAGATTAACATTGCAACGGTAATTTTAATCCAAATACATATTCCTTTTAAACGCACACGAGGAATTCTTACTTTCCTGAGGCTGACGTTTCAACAAACCTAATCTTTGGCGTTGGACAATGTACTATCCTAATATTACCATACATTTTTATAAACTTCGTCTTCAAATTGCATTGTTTTGAATAGATTCGTATTGAAATGACAATATAAAAATCAAATGTTCTCTATCATATACATTACAGAAATTTGTTTTTAGCTTATATTTATAGTTATCATTATTGTTAATACTACAGTGTATAATTGTATCTTTTAAATTAAAGTAAATATTGCTCCTTAACCAATCTATACCAATTTAATGATAAAAATAATGAAAAATTTACTCCAGTAAGAGATTAATTTTACTAATTTAAACTGATGTTCACCAATCAGATGACTTTGTTTTACTAACAAAACTCTGTGTTAGAGATAAGGCATATTCCTTACTATGCTGAATAACTAAAGAATGCTTTAAGGCATTGAAGCACAAATTACATTTGATAACATAAATGGAGTTATGTATAAAATACAATAGAGGGAAAACGGGACAATGAAGAAAAACCAAAAGTCTAAATGGTGATATAATACAAGGTATGATGCAAAAATAGTCCGCTTATTTCAATGAGATTAATACGAATTTAAATTGCTTGTTGTTATTGGTTTTCGCTTGATAAAAATCAAATTTCTGGAGAAGATTAAAGAGAATAATCGAGGTAAATACTCAACAGGATAAACAAAACACGGAATAAACAGATTTGAGAAAGTTGGAATAATAAATCAAATTTTCTTTTTTTTTTAAAAAAATTATTAATGATTTTAGGACTATTTTCAATATTTGGTTATCTTCAAAATTTCAATAAAATCTAGATTGTTGCGTAAACCAAATGGATTAAATGTCAGTCTTCAAAACTAATCTCATTATGTGACACAACGCTGAGTAAACACGCGAAATGTTTGCTATTAAATGGTATAATTATGTTAATTTTATTTATTATATTCGTCGATGCTGAATGTAATACAATTCGTTCTAATTATCTTTCAAAGAATCGAAATAAACGTTTGTCAGTAAATAATAATAATAATATTAGACAAGGTCATGCAGCCTCACGTAATCCCCTATCTGAATAGTAATTGCATAATTTATAAACCATACTATTTAAGTTTTTTTACATAAATAATTAAAAAAAGAAGTTGAATATCATTGAATATTATCTATTTCGACTTTGAATACATTGTAATTGAAGAAACAATGACAAGGTTTAACTACATTAGACACGTTATATTCATTATAAAACTTACTGAATTAAAATACAATGTATTCATGTGATTTCGTATGATTTGGAGTGGAACAATAAATTCCAATTGTAGTAGGTCTATTAAAACAAACCCAGATTGTCATTTCACAAACTGCAAATAGTCATTCATATTGATAGGCCTAAAAACAAATTCATCTCTATTGTTCCACTGTCACTATATAATGTGTTTTTTTTCAATTGTTTAAAATGCTTTATACTAACGTCGTATAATAATAGAAAAATGAGATTCCCTTGAATAAAAACAAATTTGTATCGTGAAAATCATGACAGTTAAAAGGTTTTTTAAGGAAATCCTAGTAATTAAATAAATAGACGATCTAGGAGAAAAGCATTCCACAGATACAAATGGATATCACGACAACAAACGTGTTTCAATATTAATCAATGATAGCGAGAGAAATATAACCTTTGGAAAAAAAATGTATTCCCTGGAAAACTTATAGTTATCAACATTGTTGATGAATTAAATACAAGCTAAACTTGGAGTTAAAAAAGCCCCAGATAAACTATAAATTATACAGATTTAAAAAACATTAAAAAAGGATTGATAACTAATTTTTGAGTATAAAAAATCAATTATTAGGGCCATGGTAGAATACTTGCTAATGTCGCTTTAGTACATGGAGTTCCGGTTTAAAATGATTAATTACCAATGCCTCTACACCTCAAAATTTATAGAATTGTGTTCCATTTTAACTCAGTTGTTTCACCATGTAAATGAATAAGAAGTAGCTAGTGACGCACTGCAGCCAGATTTAAAACTAATTTTCCCTAAATTCTTTTTTTAGAACTACTTAGGGTAATTCTAGAAAACGTAGTTAGACAGCAACTGTTTCGTGCGTCCAATATAAGCTGTTTCACAAGTGCACGTGAATTTACAAACAGCATAGATATTTCCCAAAGAGGAGCTAACTTTTAACCTATACACAAAAGTAGTGTGTCTGAAGACGATAATACGAAGTTTGTCTATATGACATTTTTTCCAGATTTCATAAGTTCGTATTTAAAAATTCATGACAATAGTATCCTTTTTAAACTCAATAATCATAAAAGTTTTTTTCAACAGCAGGTAATTTTGACCTATGGTTTCACTGGATGAACCTGGAACGATAGTCATTTTTGATTAGTACTAACTGGAGTTAGGAACGTTCATTGTCTATTGCTTCTTCGAAGCATATTAACTTAGTACTCAAGGATAAAAAGCAAATCAAGTTTCTCTTTGTGTTTAATGGAACGCAGCTTTGAAAATTCAAGCATTGACCATTCCATGTTAATTTGCTTACATTTATTCACCAAAGATATACATATTTTCCTATGAACTTTATCAGCATTATCTCATTCTGGAATGCTAGTTTAAAAGCTTTATAATTAATAAACAGTATCACGAACGTAACGGTATGCTATATTTTGTATACCTTTGTAAATAACTTGATAATCATCAAAATGTTCATCCATCACATGAATAAGAAATTATAACATAGAGGTCGTATCAGGTCACATAGCCACCATAAAATGAACATAAAAATTTATAGATCTGAATATGTTATACTAGATCTAAAAAATAAAGTGGGAAATTTTAAACTAACCATTACAATGTATTTAGTTTCAAATCAAAATGTTTACTTAATGGAAGGCATTTTACATAAGTGTTTAACGAGTTATTCGGAATAATGAAACTTGATAAACTTTTTCGTATGTGCAACGATTTAATGTTGTGATAATTATCAGTATACATTTTCTTTACGAAAACTTTTGCTCTATATCAAATCAGTAAAGTGATTCTCACTGTGTAATGAAGGTTTACACCTCTAATGGATGTTTTGGGTAGTGTTGTTTTCACTTATCTGAATTTAAAGAAAATATGTCAATTAGTCACAATATCAGTGATGAATCAAATAGGACATTCATAGAGAATGGAAAGAAATCAAAATTATCATAAAACTAAAAAATTAACTAGTCACAAACGACGTCAGAAAAACTATGTGATTTTTTTAAAAGTCATTCTTGCATAAACTCACTTTTACCTAAAGTCGGTATTATTAATGACTAGAAGTTCTAAAATTCAAGGTACCTATGTCGGAATGAATTTATTGCATTCGTTTTAAATAAATTAAAAATATTTACACTATATCCATGATAAAGTATTTAAATTAAACAACTCAAATGTTAATTGACAAGTTAAAAATAGGTTGGTATCACCAATATACACCAGAATATGTCGACGTTTTCTAAGTTAGAATTCTTATTGTTAATTAAAACCGACAAGCGGAACATGAAATAAATGAGGTAAAAATAAAGCCACTTGCATAATAAGATAGGAAGAGAGAAAATTTTGAAAAAGTAGTATATGCAAAATAAATACTGTAAAACTATGAATGAGTAACTATAATGTTTGTATAAAGTGATTGATCGTATTAAAATAAAAAAGGATTCGCTTACTACCCAGTTAACTTAATTGAACAATGTTACGACAGAAAATCAAAGAAATCATTTGAAAAAAAGCCTAAAAATACAACCACAGTGTTGATGTAAAATACATGTTTATAAACCTTTAAGACTAGTAGACTAAATAGTAATGTGGTTCTTTTTAAATAATTCACTATTAAAGCTTTTAAATCGTACAATTCATAACACAGAATTTAGTTACAATACAGTCTCTAATGATCTTCGATTATAAGTAGATGATTAATAAGTTGGCCAAAGGGATTTTATTTATTTGTCGAAGATAAAACTATCTAGCTTGTAGCTTCGTTATGTGTTTAGTAATTTGCTTATTGATCAGATGCAAATTTTCTGACGTTATGGAGTTATAATATGTAAAAGTGATTATCCGCCAGTCTGACCGTTTTAAAACAAAAACTTCAGGCAGTTGCCACTTGTTTTATGATGGGACCCAGTCAGCTACTTAGCATTATTAGATTTATAGCATTTTACTCAAATTTAAAGTGGTGATCAACTAACTGCAGTAGTTTTTCATACTTCTAAATCATTGAACCACACTGATATTTTTTGCATTGTTCAACAGTTTATGATTGAATAATCGATTTTTATACATTAATTACTAAGTAATTTATAAGACTTTTGATAATTTGACGCCAATTACCGAGTTATTTTGACAAAATTTTACGTATTCCGGTTTTCTGATCACGCAATATATATCAATAGAATAAAACTCTAACACGGATAAAAACAATCAACAAATGATAGTAATACTTACATTAGATTACGATGGCACTCAGCAATTTTTTTCAACATTTCGTCGCTAGGTTGATTGAGCAAATGTAAACCAAATAAATATGAATGATCTTGATAAAGATCTTCCAGAAAATCACCAATTTTCGCTGTTTCAGTTTAGTTTTATACAAAAGAAAAATTGAAAGCAATATGATATAAATTAAAATAAATTGTTGACTTGGAAACATGATACACCAGAAGTAGTTTTGTAAATATTAAGTATTCATTATTAGTTAACAAAATTTGTTATAAGTATCAGCAGAATGCATATAATGAAAACTTTCTTTACAAAATGTCACTTTCAAAATATTTGTAACTTTAGCTTTTCATTGTATAAAATATTTATCATAACTGTTTCCGTCTTAAGACTTCAGAAATGCTTGAATTCCCCAGATTTAATCCTGTAGTAGTTTCGGATAGGTACTGCTGAGTAGTCCCATATTATGTCAAAAGAGCTAACTATGCAATGTTTCTTAGCGCAAAGTGTATGTTTAGTGAAAATCAGTCCATAACGTGAAAAAATAGAAAATATTTCAAAAATGTATTCATAATAAATATCAAATCAAAGACTGAATACGCAGCCATGTTCATTATGTAAAAATGCTTCATATCTTTTGCTGTCACCTTCTCAGCATTGCTTTAATTCGCTGTGGATGTAAGAAGTTACCCTGAAAGGTTTACTTTAGAATAGTGTATATCAAATGTTGTAATAGCTTTGCTTATGAATGATTCTAAAAATTAATAAAACATTTTAATTGTGATGTGCATATTGATTGTTAAAATTAGTTCAAAGTAGCTTAAACAAACTTCTTAACAATCACATTATTTCGAAAAATACAGTTGTCTTACAGATAGTATATATATATTGTTGTAACGGCTGTGGACTTGCAGGTTTTGGTAAGCAGCGTTTTATCGATCGATCACAGTAACACGGAAAACACGTATGGACGACCTAGTGCCCTGACTGGTCCCGCTTCGCAGTCTGTCCTAGCCAGTTGAGTCAAGAACACAAGTCACAGCCTTTGAGTTATGAATCATTATATTTCAAACATACTTTGTTTATATACCAATCAAGCATACCACATCGTACCATAAAATAGGAAACAACATTTACAAAATATTTAACAAGTGAAATAAACATCGACCAATAAGAAATGTACATTTAAGGTCCAAGGACACCATAGACTTAACACGATAATTATTGGTATATTTTTCCGACTATCCTAACATATATATATCTGTTTATCGGAGTTACTATATTGATGGACAGTTATTAATTCATTATTACATGTATTATTCCGCTAGTAAATAAATTAAAAAATCTAGATTAAGTGACTAGTTTGGTATGTTTATTTTCAAAATTAAAATTAAGTTGGCAACAAAACTATAAGTTAATAAATTTACATAACGTTAAATACAAGAACTTCTCATCAATACAATCTTACTCAAATTGAGCTCGCTATATATTCTGTGTTGTAAACTAAAGAATATAATTTTGACCGATATTTATATACTTACATTCAAATGATAATCATTATCAAGTTAAGAGTTATTATCCAAGGTAAACTATCTCATTATAAGTAACCATCTTTGGTCACATAATACAATATTAGTATTCATTTAAACATGGAACAAAAACTTATAGCAATGTGGATTAACGTTCACTTAAAGCTAAGGTTTTGTGTAGCAACGCTATTACAGCGCGCCATTGTAAAATATTTTCAGCTTCCCGGGCAGCCTGCTTGAAAATAAGGGCTATCTGTTCCTACCATCCGAATATTTCGACAATTTATCTATAGTTGTTTGTTTTAACACATCATTGTATCTATTAATTGGATAACCTATTCAGGTGCGTATATGAAAAGTTTACAACCTTTCACTGTACAAATTACAAAAAAGTACAATCAGAGACATCGTGGTGACTGATAAAATATGTTGAAAAGAATGAACATCATTCAAATGTCTGTTACTGAAATACTGACATCTAACTAGCGATCACTCACTATTTATCGTCAGGATAGATGGAGAAATAAGGAAAGGAAACTTGTTCAGAATTCCATATTGTACCAAAAATATAATATTATATTAATAATATAAATAATAACCGTTTTACTGATCCCTTCAGTCTGGAAAATATAAGTTTCAAAAGCAAAAATGCTCAAACACCCAGAGATTCCCAAGTTATGCAAATTTATACGATCTCTCACTTTCAAACATTTCCAGGTGATACTGAAAACCTATCTCTGAACATTACCTACGAGGAGTGTACTTTCATCCAGATATTTATAACAGTAGTCCTAAACAGAACGAAACGCACGTCATGAATTCCATTGCTAACTACTCTTCATCTCTGTTTCCAAATCTGTATTATTGTTTTAATTAAAGTCAACTGTTACATACATCTGAACTACGAATAGTTTTAAAAAAGAACTTTTTTATAATAAGGATGTGTGTTTATAAAATCTATCACACAGAAAAGATAAAATTAACTCCTTATGACAATCAGAACAATATAGGTTTACAAATAAACTGTATAAAAATTAGAATTGAATAAAATACTGGTCATAATCCTATCAATTGACATTATTGTCAACTGAAAATATATAGTACAATAAAATAATTGTAAGAATTACACAGAAAATGAGTTCATGTAAAACGAGAGATAATGTCACATATATAAATCTTCTTCATTGATTCATATAATTGGTAGAATGAATTAGATGATTAAAATAAACAATAACATTTATAACACTATCAATGACTAATTAAATCCCCTTCTTTTAATCGTTTCATCCTAAATAATAATTGATAATATTTTTGACATGAAATTAATTAAACAAAAAGAAAAGGTAGTCAACTATTTTATTAAAAAAAAATACAAGTGATGTGTTCAATGAATGGTAGATTCATGCAAATTACAAACCTTTCATTCTATAAACACATTTATAAAATGAATAATTGAATCATGTGTTATGATGAATATACAATAGCCTAATGATCAATTTGCTAATCACTCAATAGAGAAAAAAATGTATAATCTAGTGTAATATGAGATAAAATCAAACTAAATTTTATATGATGGACTTAGCAAGCCCATTTGTAATTAATTTATAAATGGAACAACATTATCTCCCTATTATGTTAAATCATATTGCCTGTTAATTCTATGAAACTTTATATAAAAAAGCTGAGATGGAAATTAATTTTTTAAAAATTAGTGTTAAGTAGAATCATAAGAACATATCTAAGCAACAAAAAAAACACTTACACATAACTATGACGTTACTTAATCAATAAAAAAAACTGAAAACCGAGTCAAACTTTGTACAATTATGCTTCAAAATCTCATCAAATATAAATAAATATTGAGAACAAAAAGCATTTACATTATGAAATGATATTATATCAAGAAAACATTAAAAACTACAGGCAACTGCTCATCTCAAATCCTGAAGTTTTTTTAAAATTTGATCTCATGTGATACCATGAATCCATATGAATGTATGGATACAAAACAAGTTTCTAGCATTCTTTTTGTTTTCAGTATTTTTCTACAGGAAAATCTGCCTCATATAACAAGTTTAAGAAATTTAAAGTAAATTTATTAAGAGAATAATAATTATGACGTTATAAAGCGGATTCACAAATTTAATTAATACATTTTATGTCAACATATCATTGTTAGATGTATCTTAATGATAAGTAAAATTCTAAATTAGCTAACACACATAAAGCTTGAATAATTTTGTATTTGATTCATGCATAGGATATAAGTAATAATATAATTATAACTTTTCATTAACATCATCAGCACTTCCAGGTCACAATGAATTATGTATAAAAAGATATCTACACATTAACTCAATTTAAACAAAGTAAAGTAAAAAAAAATGTAAAAAGTCGTTTTCCTAAAAACACAACAGTAACATCTTCATTTAATAATTAAAAGAATGATTCATCAACTGAAAAACTTTGTGATTGTTAATTATCAAGAGAAAACAGAAGGGAAGATGTAGAATAAACCCGAAAAAAAGGGAGAAAATTCAGTGCCTTGAGAGGAACAAACTGTTTTATTAAAAGTAACTAGTCCTTCATTGATGATACTTTATTTGGGATGAGTAATATCAGCGCTTTGATTCAGTAGACCGTAATATATATATATATATATAATGTATTTCAAGATATTCTATTCAAGACAGATTAAAACTAGCTGATAATAATCTCAATAGTAAATGGTTTCTTAGGAATGCAAGGGATAAATTGTTTTTGTTCACGTTGAATAATAATGCAAAAAAGAATTATTTTTATGTATTGAGGGTTGGTAGTCTTTCCAATACTCTTAAGTTAATGAAAGCCATGTTAACTTTAGTAACTAATGTTGAGAGGCGATTGCACAAGTTCTAGTGGGAAGTAGTGACCGGTGAATTTCAGCTATGTCGAGAGCAAGTTAATTCCAGTTAAATATATAATCCATCGGATTTCAGTTTAGTGGCCCTAAGTCTAAGGTTTCTCTGTGAGATCTGAAGGTCCTGGTCCGATTCTTTTTGAGATCGTGAGTGTGTACTGCTGTGCAAACCCATACTAAAATGAAATAGCTGCATAATATCTCTATGTTTCAATGGTTATTTAAGATTAGTCAGCGATATATATATATATAGAGAGAGAGAGAGAGAGAAATGTGGGCTTGGTTAATCAAAATATTTACCAAGCTTGAAGAACAAATGATAATCTTAGGTTAAATATCAACAAAATAACAAGACTAGCGAATTTTTATTCAACTAAGATTCTCTATTTAACAGAAAAAATGTCAATCACCATATGCCAATAATTTTTTCTGAGAAAACATTTACTTTATTTTTATAATAGAACTCACGTTTCCCAAAAGAGGAGATTAAACATTCCGGAAAATATTTACTGATATGACGTAGTTGGGCTATTTTTTGTGAAGAAAATATAAATCATGATGTTTGTGAAGTTAGCCGCGACTGTTTAGTAAACTTTGCACATTTTTAAAAAAATATCCTAATAAGTTACAAACTTAACGGAAAACATTTTCCGGAACCTGTTTTATGAATTAAACATTTTCCCATAGTGAAAATGGACGATG